TTTCGTTCGGATGCTTCACTGTTGTTCACAACGGCACCTGTAAAAGGAATTGGACTACTATTCTGATCGCTCACTTTTGTGCCGCCAGCTGCTCCCTCTGACGTCCTCGAACCACTTGGCGTTGAAACAGTGCTGGGTGTTCTGGCTACAGAAACGGATGCAAGTGAATAAGGAATGGCACCACTCGGGTTTTTCTCTTTTCGGCTGCCCACTGCACTGCTCGACGATGTCAGACTAGCTGCTGTTAAAACAGTGTCTTTTAAAAGGGGTGTAGAGTCAACTGAAGATTTCCTCTCGCAGATGAGAAGGGTTCGCAAAATCGGTTGAACGTTGTCATCCCAGACTTTCAGGCCATATCTACTTAGCACAGTGTTTGCTTGAGCCGTCAACAATGCTTCTTCATGCTTGAGACTGCAAATGACTCCATCTGAACACTTCTTCTTTATCATATCCTTGCAAATATGCATTTGCCAACAACTCTCTCCGAGTACACAGTGTCCTTCATTATAGTCCAGACATACTTGGGGTATTGACAGCTGAACGAGTTTACGCAGCTGTTCTTCGCTAAACCCAGATAATTTAAGTTTAGAAATGTGCATTCTGCTTTCATCGTATTCAAAACTATGGTTTCTTTGGCATCTACCGCCAAATCTACAAAAACCAGCGATGTAATCTCGGCACACGTGTAGATAAGGGCAACCCACTTTGGAGCAATGATCCTGGTTAAAACATAATTTTGCTCGTTTACAAAGAACGTCCACTTTCAGTGTTCCGTCTTTACTTTCCCTAAGCAGAAAGCTTTCTTTCCTTGCTATAAACCACGCTGCAATATCTCCACATCCTTCAGGAAACAAGTCTTTTCTTTTCGAGATATCAAGAAAGGAGACAGTACCATTGTATTCTTTCAGAATGCAGTCAAAGACAGCCTTCTTAGAGGGTGTATTCTTTTGTGGATTCGGAACAGAGCTGCATGAACTTGATATGGATGACTTTCGCTTGCGTTCCGCTGGTTTTTCTTCAATTTGAGAGTTTCCAAGGCTTTGACTGGACTCAGAGGAAAAATCATCAACACCCAGGACCCAATTCTTCACAAAATCGTTTCCGATATCATCAACGGGCAAAACAGGCGGGTCATCATCAACAACACCACCTTTGGCTGCGCCATTTGAGGTACACGGATCCGCTTCAGGTTTCTTATTTGACACGAGTTTAGGATGACGAAATTTGACTTCGTTACCAGTCTTTTCGTGACTTATTTTCGACTCTGGAATCTGATGAATCGATTCACCTTGATTAGCAGAGAGGAAACTTTTAGAATAGGGTTTGTTGTCTTCTGAAGATGAGTTCGAGTGGCCTTCTTCTTCCTCTTCGTGTATATTTAGAAACCCGGGATTTTTCTGAGATCTTGCTGAAGCATCTGCACAACTCGCCAAATTGTTGACGTATTTCGGTATACGCTTCTGTTTTTGCTCTTTCTTTGCCTTCGAGTGACCGGGTTTCGGTTCATTCTTCTTCGAACTCGCCTCCATATCATCATTAAGAAACTCTTTGCATTTTGAGCTCACATGAAAACCTTTTGTTCCACTCGAGTTCGGCTCTTGGCTTGCCCCAAGCTGTGAGCTGTTTTCGTTTGCGTTATTTTTAAGTGAGGCCTTTTTAACGGTTGTATCATCACTTGTGAATTTACCTTTGCCAAAATACCTCTGCTCGTTCATGATTAAAATACTGCTACAAACAAAAGCAGTTTTCATCGACTGATGTGGCACAAGGTCATACTGCTTCAGTATTTTCTTGTTGTTAAGTTCAGTCAAATTATGCGATAAACTACAACTGCATGGCAATTGTCGCACTACATTCGGGCAAATATGAAGATATGGACATTTTTCCGATTTACATTCATCTCTCAAATACAACTGACAAACCTGTGGTAGACTCCAGGCAATGATGTTCCGTTGTGTGCCATTCGGGTGCTTCTCGATATTTAGGTCTTTGGTCTTCGCTTCGTTGTCGTTGTCGAGAAAATCGTGCGAACGACGGCAGTCTCCTTCGCACTTTCCCTCGATAAAGCTTTTACAAATGTGCCAGAATTTACACGAACCCTTCGCTCTCCTGCATGAACCCCGTGCAAGATATTGTTGACAAATTTTCTTTTTCAGCTCAACGCGAACACCTATGACTTCATCATTTATATCTTTCACCTCAACAAAGCGGCCACGGCCATGATTTGTCAGCCAGTTCTTCGCTTCCAAGTTAGATTTTATGTTTTTCAAAGGCGATGAATCCTTCAAAAGTAGAGGTAACTCCACAAATCCGCCACTACCGCAAATAAAATTGAAAACTTTCTCAACCAAAACATCATCCGCCATATTGGCATTGAAACGAAAACTTCATGGAATCGAGGGCGAGAATTCCGAGAAAACGACAACACTTTCCTAACAGGACTAGGGTGGGGATACAACTTTCTTTCTTTTTTTTCTTTCATCGTATTTTTGTTTTATTCGGGAGGGAAGGAGATAACTTCGATTGTTTTACGGCTGAAAAAATATATAATGAAATAACAAGGAAGAAATATCTACTCCAGGGAACTAAAACTTATTTTAAATTTATACCTTTTTTCCTGTCCTTGCGTCGCAAAATAACTCTTTTTACTATTTCCAACACAGTTTTGGTTTCAAAATAAAAGACTGGCCCTAAGCCGCCCAAAAAATAATTTTCACTTTTTTCTTCCATCGATAGCGCAGAGTAATTCCCTATTTTTAGAAATAATCAGACTCAATTGAATTCAGATGACATTATCATATATTGTCATTCACAGTTTGTTTTGTCTAATACGCACGTGCCAAGTATTGTGTTTGAAAGACGCGCACTGAATCTAATTTCAAAATGCAATTGTAGCTCACTTCTCTGTTCCTCACTGTACATTTGAATGACAGGAAGCAGAGCAAGACTGGTCACAAATAGTAACGAGAAAAATCTGGTTAAAACATTTTTTTAGGGTCAGTTTAAATTTTGAACAGCATTCTTCGCTAGCCATCAAACATCCTAGTCATATGATCCTTCCAAAAGGAAAATAGCTTTTTTTACCGCTGACAGAGACCGAAAGTCGATGACAACTGCTTTCGGTGCACATTGCGCTCAGCCAGTCATTTCAATATTCCTTGTTTCAACGCTGCAAGCAGAAAAAATCCAAAGAACTCAAGAGAAAATATCATTTAAGATCTCAAGCAAATGAACAGTGAAAAACGTGAAGGAAAACATAAATAAACTTCCTGTTTCAAACATACGTCCGTGCCGTTATTTCTCTCTACTGGCACATTTTATTGAAACGAAACTGAATTGCGTGATTTTTCAGGAGAACGAGTCACCCTTGTGAAAAATCACACAATAGCCACTTCCGGCCTGTATTATTCTACTAGAAATTTCGAATTTTGAATTTTGACACAATTTAATGATACGAAACAGAAATTTTTAACCTCACCTCGTCAAAGATCACGCAATCGCCACTTCCGGCTTAGCTTAGCTTTTACAACTTACGAGGAACGTTCGAAACGGAAAACGAAATTTAGAAGATATGCGATCCTGCTGTTGGTATTGAGCGAAATTCTTAGATATAAAATGTCTGGTATATACAACCACAACTCGAAAAGACACTGCGGAAGTGTTGAACAGAATGCCTTGCGTGGCAAGGTTTCAAATGCAATTGAACAGGCCAAGAGGCTATTTGATTCGTTATGTACCATCATCTGGATCGAAGCAAGGAACATTTACGTTAAGATGAATCGCTTGAGCCAACATTCTTCGGTTGGTAACGCAGCAGTTGCGGTGATAAAAATTGCTGTCATACTGTTCATGATTATAGTGGCAGTCGAGACGATATTTTTTATTTACAATCTCATTTCTGGTTGTTATGTGGATATTTGAGTTCCCTCATATGTTTTGCGTTTGTGGTAATAGTGAAAGGCGCAGATATGATTTTGATGAACGTGTGGGTTACCTCTAAGTATGTCTTCCATTGCATCTCGAAAATCTTTGTGGGGTCGATAACAGTTGCCATATATTGCTTAAAGCCCATTATGGTTTTCGCTTTAAATGGCGTGTTTACTTTTCTGCGTTACCTAATTATATCTTTCTTAGATTGGGCCTTAAATTTAAGAATCGACAGGAGAAGTTTTAGGCAACTTTTTTTTTTTGTGCGGCATAATGAAAATGGTGATGCTTTGGGGCAAACATGCCACGAGATTTATCTGTAGTAATGTCTACATAGGTGTGAAAGAGGCCAAGAGACACTTCGATTCCAGTTTTGCCGTATGCAGTACCGAAACTTGGATCATGATTCGAAAAATGGATCGTTTGAGCGGACTTTGTAACGCAAAAATGATGGCGATATTAATTGTTGCCATTTTGTTGACTTTTACTGTTACAAATGCGAGCGTCTTTCCTTCACGACACTCTGTTTTGTCGATGTTTACACATCTTCTTCATTTAACTGAGACATATCTCGTTAGCGTCTGGAAGAATATGGTCCTTACTATGGACAATCTCCGCGTATACGTCTCGATGAACTTTGGGGCATTAACCAGTATTAAACTCTCGGATAATATCTGTGTTATAATGGAGAATGTCTGCTGGTTTATCTCGAAGGTCTTCGAGGCATTGAACAGTATCGTCCACAGTTTCTTAGAATGGATGGCTTTGCTCGCTTCATACGGCCTGACTGTTTTATGTTACCTGCTTGAATTGTTCTCAGTCGTTCTTTTTAGTGTCTGGAAAAGTATGATTGTTATTTTGGACAATCTCCGCATGTTCATCCCAAAACTATTTGAGGCATTGAACAGTATCGCCCACAGATTCTTGGAATGGTTGGCTTTGCTCGCTTCATATGGCCTGAATGTTTCGTATTACCTGCTTGAGTTGTTTTTAGTCGTTCTTGTTAGCGTCCGGGAGAATATGGTTGTTATTTTGTGAATTTAACTTTATGATACTTCGTAGTGCCGGATGGAAAGACTCTGCCACCATGGGAATGTGAAGTCTCAATCGACGTTAACAGCATGACCTTGTCAATAAAACCAACGGCAGGAATTTGCGCCGCAGGCTATGGCTCTGGAAAATTAAGGTGCTTTGCCACTCCACCTTGCTCCACAAACCCAAGTCACACTCTCTCCACCAACTGGAAATGGTACTGGGAAGATAATGGCGGCGTTTGGTGTATGTACGAGAAGGACCACTTGGTAAACTGTTCTTTTATAGTGTATCTTTAGACTGTGTTTGAAATCTTAGAGAGCCCAGAACATTCATATGTCAGGCTTTATATTGTTTCCTTTCATCGTCCTCCTCATCGCTAGACGTTACTTTCTGATTTCACTTCGTATTTTACAAGCTATCGTAATCGCAAAACTCTTCTTAAAAGATACAAAGTATTTGGTATTTCTCCCTTATGAAATATCTCTCAAATGTATCTGAAGTTTAAATCATAATTCCTGTAAAACCGATTAAAGATAAATTCGAGTAGTATTGCATGATGGCTGCCTGTTTGAGCACTTTGAAAAACTCTATTAAAAATATCGCATTATGGCACCCACTAGAATTCTATAAAATCAACAAATGAGATGTCATTTCCTTAAGAGAACTAACTACATCTTACTCGACAGTGTTAGTCGATCCGCATTAATATCGACTCACATTTTGTTTTTAAGGGAAGAAATCTACAAGAACTGATAGAGCAAGCTTTCGTTAAAGGGCTGAAGCGAAATGAGACAGACTATACGTTCAATTTCAAAGTCAAAGCTCATGAGTACTACTTGGTCTTTCATTCAGAGAAAGGCATGCACCAAGTAAACATGCAATACGGTACCAAAAGAAAGGTGAAACGAAGACCAGAAAGACTTATATCACCTGAAGAAATGACCGTCTTTAAAAGGTAAGATGTCTTGTTCACAGATTATAATGATTGA